TTCGTATAAGACCATTGTAATCCGTAAGACATTTTTCATAAGCGATATGGACTGTTGTTACCACGTGCGTCCGTTTTCACCGCCGCCACGGATATGCGCGATCACATACACGACGCCGCGGTCCAACAAGGGCAAAATCGTGGCTTGGAAGTTTGGTTCTAAATATTCCGTCGTTTACATGTCCACCTTCACATACATTCTTCGATACAGAATCCAAAACCACGCACCTGTCGGCCATTCATACGACCCATACCCATACAAATGCAGCGCTTGTGGTTGGCCCTCCGCTTTCTTCTTATCCTTTCGGTAGATCACACTCATGGGAATGGCCGTGCCGTCGCTTGCCGTAGCCTCGACCCGTTCGCAATGGTACAATGATCTAAACACATGTTAGGTCTGTTCCGTAGGTGTTTTCTCGTTACCGATCGTAGTGCGGCACCGGCGTTTCCTTCAAAATCGCCGTCGTGTTCGATATAAAGTCATACTCCACCGTTTGCAGGGGGGTCGTCAGGGAGCTGTACGTGTATCGGTACTTGGTCGTGGCGTATTCAACATTTTTAGCAGTGCCCAGAGAGTACATGGCTTCGGGCATGGGGAGCCGGGTCTTGTGCCACGTGGAGTTATTGGTGTCTTCTACGATAAAGAACTGTCGGTACAATAAACATTAGTTGAAACTGCTTAAATATTGCCAAATCCAGGCAGAAGTAGGTAGTCAACTAAGTAGCAGGAAATCATAGTCAGCATCTAAATAGTATATGACGTCAATTAGTGTGTTGGACATCATACACTACTGGCCTTTGGCAGAAGTAGGTAGTCAACCAAGTAGCAGGAAATCATAGTCAGCATCTAAATAGTATATGACGTCAATTAGTGTGTTGGACATCATACACTACTGGCCTTTGGCAGAAGTAGGTAGTCAACCAAGTAGCAGGAAATCAATCATAGTCAGCATCTAAATAGTATATGACGTCAATTAGTGTGTTGGATATCATACACTACTGGCCTTTGGTACATACTATCGATCGCTCGAGGGATTTCGCCAAACTCCAATTTGTTTCTTCATGGAATAGGTGAATGTCGACATTTATATTGTTAGTATATTAGAGCATCTCCAACGGGAGTCCCTATATCGATGTCCCTATCCCCAAAATCTGTTCAACAGTGGTATCATCGAAGTTACGGATAATTTGGGGATGTATCCGGGTGTTTTTGTCCCCATTTCGCTCGGACGTCCCAATAACTGAACATTTTGGGGACATCCCCATAATTTGGGGACAAAATCGCCCGGATAAGCCCCAAATTATCCGTACTGTAACATGAAGTAACGGTACAACCGAAGTTTTGAGATATAGAGTTGGGATAGGGACCCGCGTTGGAGATGCTCTTAAATTACGGCAACCATACAAATTGTAACAATTCATAAGCACAAGTCCATTCAAGTATGAAGCCAAGAAGACGGTATATAGGGGGATCACGTACTGCCGCAGATCCAGCTCTGGGTGAGGCCATCTTGGCGCCCGTTGAGCACAAAGAACGATTCGAAGCAGATCACGGACGCCACTTTCACTGTTGGATCATAAGCAAACACGGATGTCCATTGGGAGTTATGTGCCGCCTTTTGTTTGTCCAACACGATATGGAGTGGCACCGACATGAGTTTGAAGTTGACGTCGCCGTCGCGATTCGTCGAGATCAACAACTCGTTTTGCCAGTGCTCCACCGTGTATTTCACGCCCTATTCACCCACAAACGGTTAATATTTCCATGAAAAAAAAATTAATATATGCAGAGCATAATACTAGTATACGCCAAGAAAGAGCTGGCAATGTGCAGTGAACAGTTGGCCAAAGTGATACTAACGTTACCCATAAAGTCTGTCCAATCATATCGAGAAATGTTGGGCCAAGATTATGATTGGTTTAAATAAGCCAACCATATCTGTTTAAATTCGAAGCACCAACAGGCCAAGTTTCCTGTAATATACACATATATATATATGTATACCAACCAAGAGTATAAACTCGTACAAACATATTTATTTTGTCAAATCCGTTCGACTTTCCATTGGAATTGAATGAATTAGACAAACGAATTTTAGAATGTCCTAGCCAATCATTTACACTTTTGAGATGTCCTAGAATGTCCTAGCCAATAATGTACACTTTTGAGATATTTGAACCAATCAACGATCATCATACTTTAACCCAGCTGTTTGCCCCAATGAATATCAATGGACCAAGCAGCCCCGAATATAAATATATACATATATATATAATGCATACCTGAACACGTGGCGCGACGACAGCCAAGGACGATTGGGGGTCGTGCAAATCGAGCACGCGCACTTCGGTGGTCACTAGTGACAAGGTCTGAATGACAAGGAACCGGCCAGAGCTGGTTTTGAACACGTCGGCGTAGAACATCTCGTCGTCCTCGGTGAAGAGACTCGTGTCATCCGACTGAGGCGCGCCCAACAGATGCGACCACACCTTGTGGCTGCGGTGGGCGGCATCCTGCGTCACATAAAACAGCGTCTCAGCGTCCCGACCCCACACGATCCTGCCATCACATCCTTCCACAGCCTTGGTTATGGTGTTGGTGGCCAAATCCTAAATTAAAAGATACAACCAAAACATGTCAACTAGTTGTATTGTCAAAACGAAACTGGAGCCCTCAATGTCTTAAGAGAATGATTAAAGAACTGCCTAAGCCAATCAAATGACGTTCTGTCGAATTTCTGCCAATCCAAACTCAGCCCGTATACTACATTTTTTATTGCATAGTTTGTACAAGCTTAATTAGATCAATGGGATTGGCGAAATGAATCAAAAGTCCAAACTTGAGTGAAAAGCACAATAGATGGAACCAACAAGGAGCCAAAAAGTGAAAAAAATCGCAAGCGTTCATCATGCAAGTTGTCTGCATTGGGATGCCAAGCATAGCAATGTCTGTAGCAATTTGTGCCCAATGGAACAACAAGCCAACCAACTTGTCTAGTCGTTTTGAAACAGGAGGTTCGGATGTGTGTACCTTGATGTAAATGTCGTACGTTTCGTAGGCCATCAAGTCCACCGAGTACGCGAGCAACTTGTGGTCAGGACTCACTTCGACGCTGCGGACGCCGCAGTGCGCGTGGCCTTCCGCCAATTTGTTGACGTCAAGCAAGATTTCCTCGGCGCCGTCATCATGACGAGGCTGGCGGCAGTGGATGTGGTACGCCTTGCCTTCTTCCGTGCGCGTGTAGTACACAAAG